GTTTTGCTCACTTTTGCAATTATAAATTGTCTGCAAAATATACTTTTCATTTCAGGGAAGTCAAGAAAGAATAAAACCCTGACACATCCTCTACCTGACTTGCAATCAAACATAGTAATTTTTATTTGTATAAATTGTTGCAAATCAGATGCAAATTTAATGTGGCCGACGATATCTATGGAAGTGCTGTCGAAATTCCCTGGGACCTCCAATGGCAACGATTTGACTTCCCTCCAAATCGTGTGAAACTCGAACATGAAAACTCTATAGAACCCCCGTAGAACCTCGCTGGCAGCAACTAAAATATCCACTGAAACCTCTTCTGTCGCGGGAAAAATCTGTTGAAATTTCCTGGAACTTTTGTACTATCATCACAAATCTCCTTAGAACGTTCTCCGAAGTCACAGTCGTTCCTGAGCGAAAAAAAATCGGAGGGGTTTTTTTTCAGCGCAGGAGTCTACTTTGGTCCAAAATACGCAATAATACTGTTATTTTTAATTGTTTGAGTCGTTTCGAATCACGTTATCAAAAAGATCAAAAACATTACTGAAAAATATTTATTTTTTATTTTGGACGATAACAATACTTCTATCTATTTCAACGAACCACAATGATAAAAAAGTGGTTCGATTTGACAGCTCGAAAGTGGTTCGATTTTGAGGTCCGTCTTCGCACCACTCAGGTCGGTGATATGTGATTTTGCTGGAACCAGTTCAGTAATTCAGTTTGCTGGAACTTGAATCTAAATTTTGGTGTCTACATGTCCAATCAGTGACAGCTACTCCGAATCACCCTGTACACTGCACCAAAACATCATCCTCTGTTCGAATGAAACTTCAGACTATTCAAATCGACGGTTGTTTTATAATCAGATGATGCTCTTCTAGAATACAGGATGAACATTGATACGATAAGCGAACGGACCTCAGTTAGAATACACTGAACCAAAACATCATCCTGGCATCGCATGATTATTGCCTCACTCAAGCCCTTTAACTATTATCAGAAGATTTTGAGATGATCATCTGTTGGAAAATGAATAAATGGATGATTTTAGATCGATTTGCAAAAACCTAAGTAGTCATAAATCATAGGATAATCCTATTATTTTCAACTAATTATAAAATGAAATTGTATGATGGAATTTCGGTTGAAAATCAGGTCAAACATCTAGTCATATTTACAATTTATTTATGATTATATTATTAACAAGTTGGGATTTCAACTGAGGTAGGTCCTTGAGAGACGAATGATGATGGCGAGGTAGAGCCAACCGACTGTCAAAGATGTTGTTATACAGCAGATTGATGTTGGCTTCGTAGAACTCCCAGGAGTTGTCAACGATGTCATTACAGGAGCGAGTATCCGTAGTTGATATGGGCCTGGGAAAGAATGAGAAAACTACAATAGTCTCATCGTGCATGTGTATCTGGAAGGAAACTTATCTTCTGGCTTCGTTTGTAAAATTGGTCGACCACAACGTTCTGGATGTTCCAGTAGCGCTGACCGTTCATAATGCTGACATTCTTGAACATTAAATACATGTGGGTTAGCAAAATGATACGTATACTTACATCTGAGCATTTCAATTATCTTAAAACATTTGAAAACATATAACAACTGTGCACTCAAGCTTTCACATAACGTGTGTTATCATTTTTATTCGGTTATATTGCTGATTGCAACTGAAACTGGATTGCTTAAATAATCTAAAAAGTGTGATAAAAGTGCACGTTTCGGTCAAATCGTTTTGGTGTCTTTGGTGCACTTATTGCTTACTAGCCAAGGAATAAGTGCACCAAAGGCACCAAGCCGATTACGGAAATGTGCACTTTTACCACACTTTTTAGTAAGTGAAAACGCTGTTATAAGTCCAGTTTGGTGTGAAGTGCGCAATACAATATTGTATAATTGAAATCAAATGATTTAAGCTATGGGACTATCTCAAAACATATTTCATCCGTTTCCGTACTGAACGTTTTGCATTATATCTAACATATGTATTGCTAACGAAATACAAACAAAAACATGTCAATGTTCATTCACCAATCAAAAAAGCATCACACGTTTCCGAATAGAAAATCATCCGACTGATTTTGTCATACGGTTTTCAGAAAAATTGAAACTGGATGCAACTGAATGATGTTTCATTCTCTTAATGGAGGGTGATTTGGTTCAGTGTATGTAATGCTCTCTGTAGAATGATTGTCATCCCAAATTGAAATGCATATGGTATCGGTTCAGCCCCATTACGCAAATCATCCAAAACGACGATGAAAATAATGCTATCGAACGTCATTTGCTTATCTGAGCTGACATAAGAGGTGGAAACATAGTCATCGCTATCAGAGGGTTGGTACGAACAATGGTGAAGCGTGGAAACCGAAGATTGTCTGTTTCGTAAATTAATTGTTAATTAACGCTAAACGCAATCATCACATTAGAATAACCAATTAACTAGAACAAAGATGAAGAGCCAAAGACTAACCAATTGAAATGTTAAACCAATGTTAACACATAAAAAAAACCAGCAAATAAACGTACATTTTACTACTACTACTTAAAAAATGGTCTATTTCGTGGTGGAGGAAGTTTCCTCTACCAACGTATGGAATGACTGTTCATGGCTATTCAATATGGAAATGTAAACAATAGAATTATAAATCTAATTTGAAGCATTTGCAAGTAATCTTATTCTTAAATTGTTTTCCTCTGAGAGCTGTGTGATTTACAGCAAATTTTCAAATAAATATCAAATCATTATTTGGATGACAGTCATATGGATGCTCATCAGATGATGACGAATTCAACCATAAGGCAATCATCCGAAATTCTAAAGCACATTCAGCTATTCCATAGCAAAACGATATAGTGGTTCTCAGAATTTCGTAACAATTGGTAGTTTTGTTCCTAATCGAAAAATATTAGACCCTATTTTTTTTCTTATTAGGGTGACCATTTCCATGTTAGGGTAGTCAAAAAATCGATTTTTTTCTTTTTTTTTTTTCCAAAAATTACATTTTTTAAAAATCTTAACTTTTGGACCACTGGTCCGATTTGAATGATTAAAATATCAAATAAAAGGTTATTAGAAATACTTTTCACCATTTATAAAATTGGAATTTTGTATAAAAGGGTACCCCTCACCATCCCTCTCCATCCTATATACAATTTTCACACTGCCGTACTCTAACGGAACTATCAACCCTATACTTTCTACTCCTCATCTATCATATAAAAATTACCACTTTAGTCTGTTATTTGAAATAAGCATCTTCAACTATGTAAATCGTTAACTTCACGCAGAAGTAATACAAAAACAAATAGGGGAAATGACGGCTTCGGCATGCCAGACTATTTTCGGCAACCCAAATTGAAACACTATTTTCACTGGATTTTCTTACGAAAACACAAACGCTGAATGCATGCAAACGATTCTTTATGCTTTAAGCTTCAATTTGACTATATTTTTACCGATGAGCAAAAGCAATCTAGCAAGGTTTTCTTGAAATGAAACACACGCACTACAAATTGTAGCTGATTTCGAGTTGCCGATAATAGAACAGCAGATTTACATGCAGTTCAAATGGAACGGTTGCTGAAGAAAAACTGGTTGCCGACAATACTCGCTCTCACTAGAGAAGTTTGGAGCTTTGTAAAAGCGTTTCAAAACAGTTTTTGACAATTCTTTCGACTGAAATTGTTAGAGCAGCTGGCAGCAATAGATTGTAAACAAACCAATACTGCATATGTGTCCGTTCGTTAGAGAAAAAGGCTATAGAAAGAAGGTCGCTGCTTAGGTTGCCGAGAATACGTAAATTCCCCTAGTTAAAGTACTTTGATTTGTTTTGGTGTGGACAAGATTGGACCTGAGTTGGTTCCAAACAAAAGACTTTTTTTTACTATGGTTTATTTTTAATACGCGTTTTAAGGGCACTAACGAACTCCCAAATTGCAAGGTATAAATGGAAATGAGTTTACTTGAACAGTTACATTATGGGCGCTGGAGGATTAATCTCCTGCTTCAAAAATTTAAATAACAACATTAGCGTAGTTTGTAACAGCAACACCTATTGAAGTTGCATTCTTGCTCATATTTCCTTTAAGGATGATAGCTCTTTCTAGTTAAAAACGTCTACGGTAACACGAAATGTTTATCTCAACTCTCTCTCTATTGTTGGCATTTTGCTTTGATGATACATATTGCCATTAAATTCAGCTGATCGGATTGAGCATTCCCTGAATTTACTTGATTTTGAATAACATGTTAAAGTTCAATATCCTTAGCGGCGGCTTCGGGCTCATTGCGTTTCTATTGCAGATGACTTTTTTTTTATTTTGCGATGGATTGTACCTACGTTCTAGTGAACCATCATAGTCGGATTTCCTTCAATTGATCGATTCTGAATGTCAATACAAAGAGCAAATCTATTATTTTCGTTTTATATCTCAGCAGTACCTACCTATGCGACGCTGCAGAGCAAAGGTGTCAATCTCATTATTGTCGAAACGGAATTCTTTGTACACTGAAGAAGCATTTAAAGTTCAAATTTCGATTAAAGGTAACTCTTTTTTATGTGGTCTGTTTCTCGGGAAGCCGAGGTAGGGTTGTGATTAAAGCGAACCTCTGATATGAAATACCATGCTGCTCCATCGCCAAAGATCATTTTGTGGAGCGTCATTCGATATTATGCGTGAATAAGCACGAAATAGAATTATCAAAATGCCACTAGCTAGCAATAATGAGACCGTTTATTGCTGTGGAAAAGGCTAATTCTCAAGTCGTTATCGTCTCAATAAATAATGTGTTTTGCTTTTGCTGCTCCGAAGGACCGTGCTTTTCTATGTAATCAATTTTCCAATAGATTTAAAAAGTGAATTCTGTTTTTGGGGCAATATCAAACAAATTAGTGTATCAACTGAATTCAACTTGTTCTTAGTAAAGAAGCCCTTGCAATAAAATGTTACTAACGTCCTGTCACTCTTTCTTTCTGTTCTAGATCAACCGGTTGACTGGCAACTCTGTTGTTGAACGTTACTGTTACGTCCCGCCATCCTCGGTAGGATAGGGAGCCCCCGGCGCGGGAGTGCGTGCAGCGACAGCGGTAGCACTCTTTCCGCGCTACCTACTAGATTTTCTTTTGGGACCCGGTTACAGAAGCGGCTTAGAAAATAAATTTTAATCTGACGCTCGGTTGGTTCGGCGGTGCTTCTGAAATGTCCGACGCCGGCAGTGGACACGACGGGGCCCAAAAGGACTACTCGCAAAAAATGGACGGCGGGGGCGGTGGGGACTTTGACTCTGGCCAGCAGAGTCAACAGACCGAACAGGAACTGGCCACCAAAATGCTACAGATCCAGTCGAAACGGTTCTACCTGGATGTGAAGCAGAACCGACGCGGCCGGTTTATCAAAGTGGCCGAGATCGGTGCCGATGGGCGGCGTAGTCAGATTTTCCTGGCCTTGTCCACGGCGGCCGAGTTCCGAGATCACCTGTCGACATTCAGCGACTACTATGCCTCGCTGGGCCCACCGAATCCGGACAACGTGCCCGAAGACGGCAAGCTAAAGTCAGAGATGATGATCAAGGACAACCGACGGTACTACCTTGATCTGAAAGAAAACGTCCGGGGACGGTTTCTGCGCGTTTCACAGACAATTACCCGCGGTGGTCCCCGGTCGCAGATTGCCATCCCGGCGCAGGGGATGATCGAGTTCCGCGATGCCCTGACGGATCTACTGGAGGAGTTCGGCACGAACGACGGCGGGTTCAAGGGTGAACTGCCGGAGGGCCGCCACATGCGTGTGGATAATAAAAATTTCTACTTTGACATCGGGCAAAACAGCCGGGGCATCTACATGCGGGTGTCGGAGGTGAAAAGTAACTTCCGGACTGCGATCACCGTGCCGGAAAAGTGCTGGTCACGGTTCCGTGACATCCTGACCGATTACTGCGACAAGATGAAGAAAACGTCCGAGTCAACCACATCGTCGATCACTGCCGATAACCCATTGCAGAAGCAAACATCAAATAATATGTAAATTAGTGACGTGAGAGAGAGAAACAGATCTTTTTCCCCCGTTTGTTTCTGTTCCCTGGCTGAGTTTTTTTCCCCACGCTTTATTATTTTTCGTTTTCGGTTTTTGCCCCGTTTTTTCAACTGTTCTCGACGATTTTTCTGGTTTTTTTTCTCTTATTTTTTTTTCGGTTAATTGTTATGTTTCCTTACTCGTTCACTTCCGGAAGGATGATATACTAAATTGTAGAGATGAAATGAAGAGTATAAAATATATTATACATATAGTTATAGAAGAAACAGAGAGGATCAGATGTAATCTGAATATAAATTGCAGTTATAAAGATTTAAATAAAGGAAACAGAAGAAGAAAAAATTAACAAAATTAAATTTAATAACACAGACGAAAAAACAAAACCGAGCGAAGAAAATAATAACACACAAACATAGGAAACAAGCGAAAAACACAACAACCTACACACAGTTTCACACGCAAATCGTGCGTTTTTATTTTATTTTCGGCCAATAAATTCGCCAATCCTCAAGCCACCCCTGGATTCGGACGATTCTGTCCATAGAGATGCGATTCCTGTGCATTCTGAAACAAAAAACGTAGGATTTCCTGGTGTGCTGATGGCAGCACTTCCTTCGAAAAAGATGCAATGAAATGTCGGAATTTTGCATGGAAATGTCTTAACTTCCAGCTTTAATATAACAGACTTATCTGGCAAATTGAAAATGATGTTCTCCGAGCCGGTTACCAGCAAAAATTCAGTCACTGCTCAATTTTGCTGGATAAAATGGTGCAACATTCAGTAGAGTAGTTGAGTCTATCCATATGGAGGTTCGTAAGACCAAAATAACGCGTAATCTGTGATCAGTTGTTCCAATTACTTGCCATTTTTGAAGTTAAAGAACCGATCATTTCGGAGTAAGTGAGGAAGTTGTCCAGCTGTTGATATGATGTCATTTTTTTCACTTCTATCATCAAGCTTGAATAATGTGCATGCAACTGAAAGCTGACGCTACATTTTCGCTGGCAACACTTGAATTTCCTATGTCGACAGTGGATTTTGACGTCGGAAGGTGCAACTCGGACAAGAGTTTAGTGGTGGCGCTACAATCTCGATTACTTTTTCAAAGGGACGTATCAGCTTATGTAAACAATGCATTTCATCGTCGATTGGGCGTAGCTGGTAGCTCGCATACACTTACTAACACCACTAGCAGGTAGGGGAAATTTCCCCTATCTGATGGTGGTGTTAGCATGCGTGGGCGAGCTACCAGTTGCGCCAAATCGACGATCAAATGCATTGTTTACAAAAGCTGATACGTCCCTTTGAAAAAGTTATCGAGCAATAATAATTAAATTTAGGGACGATCCATAAATGACGTAGGATATTGTAAACCCCTCTCTCTACCCCCTCGTAGCGTATTTTGCTATGCTTAATAAATGGCTGGCCACAACTTCTGAACCTTTTTTGGGAACTTCCCTGAATTTATTAGCCCCTCAGTGAAGCTACCGGAGCTTATCTCAAGAACTGTAATTACTCCAAAGTTCTCGGAACTTCTCAGAAGTTCTTTAATTTCTTTCAAGTTCTCGTTATTTCTCCGAAAATCTTGGATCTTATCTCAAGTTGTTGGAACTTCTCAGAATTTATTGGAGTGAAGTGTTTGAACTTTTCTAAAATGTTTCAAACTTCTTGAATCTTCGCTGAAGTTTCCGGAGTTTTTCTCAAGTCCTTCGAACTTTGCTGTAGTTCTTAAGGGCCACCCGCAATAGATTCGTCTGCGTTGACGTAACTTTGCCGCAACGCATCAGATTCGAATCTAATGTGGGTGGCCCTTTAGGCCTTCGCTTAATTTCTTGGAACCATGTTAAAGATATTTTAACTTTGCTTAAGTTTGGATCTTCGCTGAAGCTTTTTGAAATTTTGCTGAAGCACTTGAATTTTCGCTAAATTTCTTGGAGCTATGCTAAAAACATTTGAACTTCAGTGAAGATACATGAACATCACTGATGTTTTGGGATCTACGCTGAAATTTTTGAAAGTTCATGGAACTTCTTTGAAAATCTTGGAAAATTTCCGAGAATTTTAGAGAAGTTTGCAAAAAGCCCCGAGATCTGCATCGATGGTCCAGAAAGTTAGTCGGAGTTCCAGAATCGGCAAAGTTCCAAAAACTCCAAAGAAGTTTCAAAGATTTCAGAGTAGTTTGAAAAAGTTCCACAAAGTTCATATATCTTCAAAAAGGCTCAACTATTTTAAGCAAAGGTCCAAGAAACTCCGTGAAGGTCCATCAGCTTCAGCGAAGTTTGAGATAAGTTCCAAATGCTTCCGAAAAGTTTCGAAAATTTCTGCAAACTTTGGAGAAATTCCAAAAGCTCCGGAGAAATTTTGAGAACTTCGTAGAAATTGTGCGAATGTAAGAGAAGTTCCGAGAACTACGGAGAGGTTCATGTACTTGTGGTAAGCCCCAAGAAAATTCAACTAACTTCGAAGAGCGTCATCAAAGTTCCGAAAACTTCAGCGATGATGTTTGCAAAATGCCCAGAGTTTTAGAAAAGTCCCAGATACTCTAAAGAAGTTTACAAAATTTCAGGCTAGTTCGAAAAAGTTCAGCAAAGTTCAACTATTTTAAGCATAGCTTCAAAAAATTCCGTGAAGGTCTAACAGCTTAGGCGAACTGTGAAGAGCCTTATGCTAAGTTCCAAATGCTTCACCACAGTTCCGAAAATTTCAGCAAAGTTTAACAAATATTAGAAAATTTTCAGCAAAGTTAAAAACACCTCAGTGAAGTTCCATGAACTTGAGATAAGTTCTGAGAACTTCGGAGATATTCCAAAAGGTCCGTAAAAATTGTGGAAATTTCGTAGAAATTCCGAGAAATTAAGAGAATTTCCGAGAACTTCGGAGAGGTTTATGTACTTGTGATAAGCCCCAAGAAAATCCAACTTAGTTAGAAGAGCGTCAGCAAAGTTCCAAAAACTTCAGCGAAGATCTTTGTAAAGTTCCCAAAATTTCAGAAAAGTTCCCGAAACTTCAGAGAAAGTTCAAATATCTTCACCACAGTTCCGAGAAATTTAGCGATGCTTCAGCGAAGTTTGAATATCTTGAGATAAGCTCGGAGACATTCATCGAAGGTTCCGACCCATGTGTTGATGGGTTCGATGGATTCCAGGCGTATTAGTCGTCTCCTTGGCACTCGATTGCCGTCAGTGATTGGCACACGATTGTGGAACAAAGACCGACGTTAAATAAAAGAGGTTTAAACATGTGCAGTTTTCAATTTCTGTTAATTCTGAGAATTATCTTCTTTGATCGGTATCAATCAAATTTTACCAGCTGTTCAGTGTTGGAAAAATCAATCACTTAAATGAAAATAATATGCTTGATACTGATTCTACAAGCTCCTTTGATATTGCGAGACTATTTACACTATGTAAAAATGAAGCTGAAAGTTGACTCGACACAAAGATGATTTCGTTGCACATTGGTTTTCTTTGAAAGAGAAAGTGTAGTTTGCTATTTCTCTTTACGCTTCACCGATGGCAAACACGAAGTGACTGCTGCCAGCAGTGACGGTAGTTTCGCGTCACGTTCGGGTGTAAAGCAAAACTCATGAAACTCAAACTCACCTTGGTTTGGTGAGAACTGTAGCTGGTGAGTTTTGTTTGCTTGATATTCGTGGCCAATTGGGACATTTTTGTATGGCTGAAATTTTGGTCATCCACATAATCTGGTGCTTTTTCACTTTGGTCACCGGACAGTTTTAGTCAATTAATGATCACATTGACCTAAACAGTTGAATTGTTCAGATTAGAAATCACTGTTGAAGGGAGTGAAGCTATTGTAAAGCCAAACAATTTCTCAAGTGATTACTATTCCATTGACCAATATTGATGGCTATTTTCCGGCAAAACTACCAGTTTCGATTTGGCCAACGGTATGGACCAATTGTTGGATGAAATTATGGAATTTTTTGCACTTTTTCGGGTAAATATAAAACATTCAAACCTCATGATCCGCGTTATCTACGGATGCGGGGTAGTTCAAAGCAGCCTGTTAGAAGCATTAAAATTGGATTTGAGCTGAAAATAGTGCGTTTTTGATGTTTGAAAAATTGTCAAATCTTCATTATGTACACTTTTTTGGGTAATCAAATTTACCACAAATATTTCAAACTGTTGCAGACATTAGACATGTTTATGGTCTTTAATGAGTAAAAAACAAATTTCATGAATCCAAATGTATGTCCAATAACTCACACGCTTACTATGACCAATTGAGTACTTTAGTCATCAGCTGAGTCGGGCTTATACAAGCTTGTGCATGCTCTCAACTTAGTGTTCGTTGAAGCACTTCCACAGCTATTAATTGAGAGCTTTCTATGCCAACCAATGCATGAATTTGTATATTTCGTGGCAATCACAATGATGCTCTCTATGCCCTGGGAAACCAAGAAATGGTTCAACTCAAAAAATCACTAGACCGGACCGGGAATCGAACCTAATTCATTCGGCTTGATAATACCGTACCTTTACTGACTAGGCTATCTGAGGCCCCAAGGTTTCTCACCTACCCGATTTTTAGCCAAAGGAATCTTCAATCCCAAACACGACATGCATCAGCTCTGCACAGGTATCGCTTCCCGCAAAATTCTATCCGAAATCAGTGCTAAATAATACCAAGCAAAGCAAGAACACGAGCAGTGAAATTGAACGTAGCCGAATTCTTAGCTGGCGCCGAAGTTACAAACAATGAAAAAGCGAGAAAAAGAACAAAGCAAAAACAATTTCCAAAAAACAACAACAACAACAAAAAAAGATAGAATGATATAAAAGAAAAACGAAAATAGTAGACAAACATAGTAACAGATAAATGATGTAACTGCAAGCCACTCACAGCATAGATAAACACACAAACACACACATACACAAATACACAGAAACACACGCGTACCAGAGAGAAGAGAATGACGACGATGATGATGATGAACATTACAAAATAGAGGCAGTGTGGAGAAAAACATAGAACTAGAGTTAAAAAGTCCCTCTTTTTGAGCAACAGCAACAACATCCAAGCCCAGAAGCTACGGGAATAGCGAAGAGAACAAGTAAATGATGACAAAGTCAATATATATTACTGTTAAATGTTACACACAAAACAAGTGGAAAAAATAGAAAGGAAGAAGGTGATGAAGCGGTGAGGATGAAAAAGTATTTAAACTGCGAAGATTGTAGAGAGAGAGAGGAGATCTTGATGAATCAAAATTTTTAAATTATATTTCTAGCGTTGAGTAAAACCGTACCCTCATATGGATATGAGGTCAAAGGAGAATGAAAAAGTTTAGATCAAAAAGATGTCCCATTTAATCGACAGTAAGTTGTTTTTATTGAATCGTTTTTTTTTTTTCGTTTAAGTTTCTCTCGTATATTCAAAAAATAATAATTAAATCGCAAACGAATCGATGTATAAGTAGTAATTGCGTTTCGAGAATCATGCTTGGCATTGATGATGAAGTAGAAGAAAGCTAATTGAAGCAAGAAACAAACTGAAATACTGGTCGCCCGAGCGAAAATAATGGAAGAAAGCCTCCTAGAGGTAACACAAAAAAAAAAACGTGCATGGAGATCGGGACCAACAGCTGTGATCTTAAACAAGAAAACAATATGAAACCTTTTTCTTTAAAACAAAACAAAAGGCAAACAAAGTTAGCTTTTGTTTAATGTGAAATGCAAAGCACCCCCCCCCCCCCTCCCTCTTTTTAAGACAATATTGAACCTTAGTTTTTTGTTTTGATTGCTGGAAGAAGCTGCTATAGGATTAAAACGTGTGCGTGACAATCCAACAAGTGACACCCGTTGTCGTTTCGCGGTGTCGCTGTTTCCAGTTGTTATTTGTTGATTTTAAAATGTTTGAAATAGAACGCAAAATCCTGTTTGATTGTTTTGTTTCCGGTTGAAAAGTGATTATTAACACTTTAGGAAAAAATTGTTGAATATTTGTCGTTACAATCGATTGACTTTCCGTGCATGGAAGATGCGGGTTGGTTACTTAAAACATCGAATTTTGATCGGGCGCATAGCGCGCTCTGGTTTAATTTTGTTGATGCCGTGTGTTATCGATGCTGGTGAGACGTTTCGGCTAGAAAGTGTCATTGGATGTGTTGCTGTCAGTTCGTGCAGGCTGTTTGGGATTTTCTCTGTTTGCCCACTACGTCATTAACTATGTAGGCAGTTTTTTTTTGGGATTCTTGTCCCCCTCCTAATGCGTAGACGATTGTCCATACACAATTTTTAACATTTGTATGGGCCGTGGATAATTGCCAATTCACACAATGATGCGCTATACAGCGCACTATGTCCGACGCTATGTTTAACGTACAGAATGAGAGTAAAATCGTTTGTCGCGTTTGGGTTTTTCCGATGTCCAACTTGACCGACAATATTAGAAGCAAAATCAGAGGAAAATATTTTGTAGGCCGGGGAAAATTAAATCTTTTAAGTGTACCGAATTATTTTTTTTCAAAAATGATTCTAATTTTGTGAAAATCAATTTTTTTTCTCGGATTTCTTCAAAATAAATCGCCATAGCTTTGTTTTACTAGCGACATCTGTTGCGAAAATCTGGTTCACAGGGTAAGTATAGATCCAGGGGAAGCTCTTGTATTTAAATTTCGACTGCAAGACCAGACAACTTTTGGTGACGTTCAGGTTCAGATTCAGGGGGGCATGTTCAGTCGGTTGGGCTTACGAAACATCCTGAGTTAATTCGGATGACTTAAAAAACACATGCAGAAGGGCTTCAGGGCTGGACGTTTTGTCGTTACCTTTGGTGAAATTTACAGATAGCACAGCCAACTAACAATTTCAAATGCAGAACTGCTTTGACAGGCAAATATGGGCTAATGCAGCTATTATTTTCCTGTATATGCCGTAGAAGCTGATCTGTAGCTAAAATCGTTTGTATGGCGAGGCTTTCAATGTTCTGATGAGTTTTGATGGAGGGTACGTAGAGTCTCGATTACAGGCATTCAGTTTCGGGAATCTTCAGGAGCTTGTTTAATGAGCTTGCCGAGCATATTTGTACAATGTATTAGGCGTATTCAACATTAAAATCAGATCCAGAACAGTTTTGGGGACTTTATCACTGAATTTTCTTGAAATCTTGTTCTACACACCCATTTTAGCTGTATTTTGCCGAGTTGCATAGGCCTATTCTGCGCGGCGTGTGAGGTAAGGTGACTCACTGTCACTAGTGAAGTGACAATTGTCACCTCGGGTGTGGTGACTCTCCATTTGATTTGCACGGAAAGTCACCTCACCCGAGGTGACAATTGTCACTTCACCATCACTTCACTGTCACCTCACCTCACACGCCGCGCAGAATAGGCCTAGCAAAACAAGCAATCCTTCCAGCAAAGTAAATTTTGCTGGTTTTCCAGCAAATATGTTTTGACAGAAGATAGCTGGAATAACCGGAATAATCTAGAATAAAAGACAACCTAATAGAAGATAATATTTTCTTCAAAGTATCCCCCTGTCTTACCGTTATTATTACGAAAAATAGTAAACTTCTTCAATCAGAATTCAGGAATTATGAACACTACGTTTTTTGCAGAATTTTATCTGTAAGCGGTCGTCCAGCTAATGAGAAAAATCGCAAGTCTTTTTGACAGTCCCTGATTTACTAGTTTCCAGCAAAAACAGCTGATTTAATGGGTCAGCAACGCATTTTACTGAAAGATGAAAATAAAATTTGGTGTGTAGCTCTCTTCTGGACTTTTCTGTTGAGACCGACCATTTTAGTCGTCTGGATTTTAAACTTTCCTGGACTAGAAACAGAGTTGTTTTGGATCTATTTCCAGGTCTATGGTCTTACTCGTGAAGTTAACCTAACTTGTCGTTAGGTTGATAACTCTACAGATGCCCCGGAGATTTACTGGGCCTTTAATTAATCTGGCGGAGATGAACTAGCGTCTGACTGAAAATCTCCTCAATAAAGACAACCAACCAACCTTTAATAAAATTTCTAATTGCAGTTCCACCCTTTTTCTTCAGTATGTGCTTCACAATTGACCACTGTGACACCATTTTCGCTGTACCACTTTTTGGTGGAATTTGAGTAGTGGCAGCTTGCCAAGTCCGGCTGGAATAGGCAATCCACCTCATGCTGCTTCAGAAAAGGCAGTATTTTCTTCCATAGGCATTCCTCCTGGTAAATTTGCTGGTTCCCAGAAGTAACGAAAATTTAGATTTTCAGCCCACAACTGCAGATTGCTTACCAGATAAGAAACTTTTTGGGGAATTTCAACTTCTTTTTGATTTTACATTCTTCCGGGGCACTCTTTCGGTCAACCGGGGTATAAAATTCCTGCCCAGGAATTTGATCGAAAACTGCCACGAGCGGAATTTTCGTTTCGAGCGTGCAAGATCGAATCATGGCGTACTAGCTCCGGTGAAGCTTTGATGTAAACAAATTCACTTATCCTGACAACCAATGGCTACTGTGATTCTATTCACTCTTAGCTTGATTCAGGGAAATTTGGAAAAACCTGTGAGACTTAAAATTAGAATAATTAATGTGAACAAGGGGTATTCAACTCTGTACACCTTAATCTGTGCCAAAAGATTTAGCAAAGCCGAAAGCTGTGCCAAGCGTTGTGCCGATCGTTCCAAAGTAGGC